GACAAAAGTCGGGAGCATTAGACGTACGTTTAGTGCCCGGACAGAAATATTTTTCTCAGTGCAAAGTCAAAATTTTTAAGATCAAAAAATGTGGAAGGAACAAACTGGGGTTGGAAATGTGTTACCCCTATTATTATGGTATGGTTGCACACTATGGTGGTGGTCCCCGGAAAACGGGATCCTACCGTTCCGCTCGCTACAAAGAGAGGGGACCGAACTGGTGTGGAAATAAGCGCGCTTGATCCGGTGTGGTCGGGGCGCGGTGGTGCGGTGGGTCGGCCGACAGGTGCGAAACAATCTTTTTCCCCCGGCTGGCGCGGGCTCGCGCGGGCTGGCGGCGTGGCAGTAACACATGACACCCACGTGTTGACGGTCCACCCCGTGGCACCTCGCCGCCGCCGCCGCCGCTGCCGCCGCCGCGGCCCGAGCCGGAATGGCCCTTGCGGGAGCGGCGCTGATATACGTCCGTGCGTCCGAGAGAGAAATAAACCCCCGAGGGGGGCGTTGCTGCGAAGGGGTTCAAGTACACACCGCCGTTACGGAGGGGTATTTTTTTGTTTTTGTTTTATCTCTATCTAACTCTAAGTGCAGCAGCGGCAGCAGTAGCAGCAGCCGCCGCTACACTGCAAACGCGAGTGTGTGAATGCCGATTTGAACGATTAATAGAATAAAAGTGTAAATTTTTCTTTCGAGATATAATGTTTCCATGTGTTGTATGAACGGCTTTCACACTCCTACGAAGTGTGCCTCATTCACATACCTGTGTTTGCAGTGCACAGGGGGTAAGGGTGAGGCCATGGGGCGTGCACAAAGGAAGCGAGAAGAGTGGGGGGCGTTGTGCGGAGGGTGCCAATTAAGTGGCGATTATTGCTAACGACCGCCAGCCGGTCTGCTCTTCTCCTCCCTCTTTCTCTTACCCGCTTCTGCTCTGTCTCTCTCCCTCCTTCCCTCTCCCTTGAGTTCACCACTTTCGATCTCGCTCCCGTCCCTCCCGCGCTCAGCTCCTGGCGAGTCTCTGACGGACGGACGTCCCCGGCATGTCCGTTTTGTTGTTATATCATTACCGACATGAAACCGTTTCCGCTCACTCTTGTACGGCTATTGCGGCTGGGCGTTGCGAATGAATGAGCCCGGGGAGCCGCTAAGCTTCACGCCGCCGCCGCGCCGAGAGTGGAGGCTGGGGGGAGGGGTGGAAGGGGCGCTACGTGCTCTATCCGCCGCCATGCGAAAGGCCCTCCACGTCGTAAAGTCTTTAAAAACCCGAGCCGAGCGACGAGTCGAGCCGAGCTGCTGCTGATGGGGGTCGTTGTACTCTCTGCGCTAATTTTGTTTCCCCTACGAACCCGTTGCGTGTCTCTCTCTCTCTCTCTCTCTCTCTCTCTCTCTCTCTCTCTCTCTCTCTCTCTCTCTCTTTCTCTCTCTGTGTCTTTCTTTCTCTTTCTCTCGCTCCACTCTGCCTCGTGCCGCATACATACCGCAGTCCTATTGGGACGAGGCGATGCTGCTGCAGCGAGTGCAATGGTTGCCCAAGTGTCCCTTAGACACGGGCCATTTCCACCCCCCCCCCCTTTTGTTTCCCCACTTCCCCTCTCCCTTTAGTCGGTTGGGGGTGGTGGGCCCGGTCGGTCTGCCTTCAGCCTCAGCCCCGCTCCGGGACAGAGCCCTTTACCCCACCCCCTTCCGTCCCCTGGCCTCCACTCCTCCGCTTCTACAAACCCGCTATTGGACTCAAGCAGGCGGCGTGAGGAGGGTTGGGGAACAGAAGGGGAGGGGAGAGGATGCACCGGACAGGCAGGCTCTGCACTTGCACACGGCGACCGCCTCCCCCTCTCTTCACCTCCGAGAGTCTCTTTAGCGTAGTGACGAGTTGCGGGGGGAGAGGGGGAGGAGGTGGAACAAAAGGGCCTAAGCTGCTCACTCGGCCAGCCGTGGCTCTTAGCTAATTGCGTAAGGGGCAGATGGGGTGGGATGGGGGTTGCACCCTGACCAACCCCGCGTCTGGCGGCGCGCGCCGTGAAGCGATTTGAATCGTGGCGCGCTTTTCCGACTCTACCTGCGCTTCCCTTTCTCTGTCTCTTCCTTTTCTCTTGCTCGCTTACGCCTGCCCTGCCCATCCACTAAACGGCCCTCCAAACTGCTTCCTTGGGGTTTCTGTCTTACAGTCATCGCTATTCGTTGCGGATGTATGGTCCAGCAACATTTTAGACGGTCCTCATGGTTATCTCAAACGGAGGGCTAAGTGCCTCCTCTCTCCCTGCTCTTTTTTTTTTTCATCAACCCTTTTCTTTGCCGCTATGTTAACTCTTTCTTTGGTATGCAAACACACAGTTTGCAAGGATTCTGACAGCTTGCAAAGAATTTCTTTGCAACGCGAACAGATCCTTTCCAATCTAAAGCTCGAAAATTCTTTTGCTACGCTCACTGTTAAAAGCATATTGCTTTGCATAACTGCGAAGTCGTTTGACCGATTGTAACTACGAAGCAATGCCATAGTATTTACAATGCATTTCCAGTGTGCTGCAAAGCATCGCTTTTCAATTGCAAAGCATTACTTTGCCATTTCAAAGTAAATGCTATGTGTTTACAGATTATGATCTAAATGTTTTGCAATTCTGCAGCATTGCTTTGCTGGAATTGAACAGTGTTTTTTTCAAAGATTATAGTTTACAAGCATTTACCGGCGTTCGAACCGATACCGTTTGAGATATTTTAAATCCTTTGATCTCTGGTATCTTATCATGGCACGGTACAGAACCGATCTGTGAAACTTTATTGCTTTCCGCGAAAACCCCGAGTCCGAAATACCGTTCGGAGGAATGTAGCGTTTTAGTCCCCCTGCTTCCCCCCCGGTCCTCCCTAGGCTCGGATCTCCGAGCAGGGAATTAGTGCGTGAGGCTGTGCAGCCCCCTCCCCCCTCCCCAACCCCCTTCTGGTAACCACCACCACCAGCCCCTCGGCGCGGCAGCAGCGGCAGCACGCTATAACACAACTCCTCACGCTAAACTAGTTTATTCCTCGGCGAGTTGGAGCCAGCCAGCCTCCTACTCGCTGCCACGTCCTTCCCTCTGGGCGGCGGGGAGCGTGGTGTGGGTGGGTTGGGGTGGGCGCCCCCTC